AGCCAGCCCCAGGCCCCACGACCCCCACCCAGCCGCCCCCACCCTTGCCACTGCCCCCTGCTCGCTCTGAGTCTGAGGTGCTAGAAGAGATCAGTCGGGCTTGTGAGACCCTTGTGGAGCGGGTGGGCCGGAGTGCCACCGACCCAGCAGACCCAGTGGACACGGTAGACCCAGTGGACAGTGGGACTGAGCGAGTGCTGCCTCCCGCACAGGCTAAGGAGGAGAGTGGTGGGGTGGTAGCAGCAGCAGGGTCAGGCAGCAGTAAGAGGCGGCAGAAGGAGCACCAGAGGGAGCACCAGAGGGAGCACCAGAAGGAGCATCAGAAGGAGCATCAGAAGGAGCATCGGCGGCACAGGCGGGCCTGTAAGGACAGTGTGGGTCGGCGGCCCCGTGAGGGCAGGGCAAAGGCCAAGGCCAAGGCCCCCAAAGAAAAGAGCCGTCGAGTGCTGGGGAACCTGGACCTGCAGAGTGAGGAGATCCAGGGTCGTGAGAAGGCCCGGCCTGATCTTGGCGGGGCCTCCAAGGCCAAGCCACCCACAGCTCCAGCCCCTCCGCCAGCTCCTGCACCTTCTGCCCAGCCCACACCCCCATCAGCCCCTGTCCCTGGAAAGAAGCCTCGGGAGGAAGCTCCAGGGCCACCGGGCGTCAGCAGGGCTGACATGCTGAAGCTGCGCTCACTTAGTGAGGGGCCCCCCAAGGAGCTGAAGATCCGGCTCATCAAGGTAGAGAGTGGTGACAAGGAGACCTTTATTGCCTCTGAAGTGGAAGAGCGACGGCTGCGTATGGCAGACCTCACTATCAGCCACTGTGCTGCTGATGTTGTGCGTGCCAGCAAGTGAGTTGGGGGCTGTCACCCACAAGGCTGCGCTTGGTCTGGGGATAGGCTCCCTTCCCTCATCACCCTGATGTTTCTGTCCTCATTCCACTGTCCTCCCACAGGAATGCCAAGGTGAAGGGGAAGTTTCGAGAGTCCTACCTTTCCCCTGCCCAGTCTGTGAAACCGAAGATCAACACTGAGGAGAAGCTGCCCCGGGAAAAACTCAATCCCCCCACACCCAGCATCTATGTATGTGTGCCATTTGTCCTCAGAACCACCCCTGCCAGAGGGTTCTAAGACGGTGTTGGGGGCGGTTGGGGCGCTTTGAGCCAGGGCCAGGGCTCTGACCCTAGCTCTCGTGGTCATCTCTCAGCTGGAGAGCAAACGGGATGCCTTCTCGCCGGTCCTGCTGCAGTTCTGTACAGACCCTCGGAATCCCATCACCGTGATCCGGGGACTGGCGGGGTCCCTGCGGCTCAGTGAGTATGAAGGGCAGAAAGTGTGTAGGGAGGGCTGCAAGGATCTGGGGTATGTGGGGGTCCTCTGAGAATCCCACACTTGAATACCCAGGACAGTGGCAATGAGGGGTCCTCTGAGTCATCGATGGGTCTGCTGGCCTTGGGTTTTTCTCCCATCTGATTGTCCTCAGCAGTGGGCAAGTGGGAAGGGGATGTATCTCAGGGCCTGGTTAGTCATTTCTGGGTTTCTTGGTGGTTAAGGATATAATACAGACTTTAGAAAAACCCCGAAGACCCAAGATTTAGGCCATGTGCTCTCTCTTTCAACCTTTTATTGTGGTATATTTCAAACACATACAAAAGTAGAGGAAACTATAGAAATATAAAGGTTAATCTTGTTTTCTTTATACCCTTATTTCCTCTCTTCCCCCACTGAGCTATTTGAAGCACATTTCAGGCTTTCACATGACCAAATATTTAATTGGATCCAGTGGTAACTTAAAGCTGCTGTTTTGGCTAGAAAGATTCCAAAGAGGGAAAAAAGCTGAGCACTTACTCTGTGCCAGGCGGTGTCCAAACATGGCTACGTGCACACCTGAGGATTCTACTATTTTTGCGTTATTTTTCCAGTTGTGGGAGGAAGGGGCCTGTTGAGGATCCAGGTAGAGGCCAACCCTCCCAGCTTCCTATGGGTTAGGGTTCTTGCCTATTCCTTCAGGGCTGAGCTCTGCTAAGCCTATCCCCACCCTGTTTGAGGCCTGGGGAGTAGAAAGGGAAAGGGTCAGTTGGGTTCTTGGGTCCCTGTCCTCTGCCTCTCCCCCCGACACCCTGTTTGGCCCTCCATTGCAGACTTGGGTCTCTTCTCCACCAAGACGCTGGTGGAGGCGAGTGGTGAGCACACTGTGGAGGTGCGCACCCAGGTGCAGCAGCCTTCAGATGAGAACTGGGATCTGACAGGCACTAGACAGATCTGGCCCTGCGAGAGCTCTCGTTCCCACACCACCATTGCCAAGTACGCCCAGTACCAGGCCTCATCCTTCCAGGAGTCGCTGCAGGTGAGAGGCAAGCATTAAGCTGGGTAGAGGCAGGTGCTGGGATTAGGGGTGGGGAGGCACAGGGATCTTGGAAGGTCATTGACCCAGGCCTGCCTACCCCTCTGGTTGAGCAGGAAGAGAAGGAGAGTGAGGATGAGGAGTCAGAGGAGCCGGACAGCACTACAGGAACGCCTCCCAGGTACAGTACAGACGTGCCCTTTGCCTTCATGCTTTCTTCCCTTCCTTTTGCTCTCCACCAACCTGTGCTTTTCGTCCCAGCAGCAGCACACCAGACCCGAAGAACCATCACATCATCAAGTTTGGCACCAACATCGACCTATCTGATGCCAAGCGGTCAGTGGGGCTAAGGCTAGCAAATTTGGGGCAGGTGGGCGGCTGGACACAGTTTTCGGGGTTAGATCCTCACTTTGTCGCATCCTCGCCCGGCAGGTGGAAGCCCCAGCTGCAGGAGCTGCTGAAGCTGCCCGCCTTCATGCGGGTCACATCCACGGGCAACATGCTGAGCCACGTGGGTCACACCATCCTGGGCATGAACACGGTGCAGCTGTACATGAAGGTGCCCGGCAGCCGAACGCCAGGTGTGGTCTACGCCCCTGTGCAGGAATGGGGGGGCGAAGGGAGCGGGGTTAGGGGTAGGGAGGTTGGCTGCGGTGCTCAGCTGTCAGCCAATGAGGACAGAGGGCGGGGCTGTTGCAGATCACAGGTTCGCTCCAGCCTGCCATGCCGTTATCTGTCTCCCCCTGCAGGCCACCAAGAGAACAACAACTTCTGCTCCGTCAACATCAACATCGGCCCAGGCGATTGCGAGTGGTTCGCAGTGCACGAGCACTACTGGGAGACCATCAGCGCCTTCTGCGACCGGTGTGTGTTGTCCCCTGCTAGTCACCTCACTGCGTCCCCTCCCTCGGTCCCCGGGCTTCCACCTGACCCTTTGGCCATCCTGTAGGCACGGCGTGGACTACTTGACGGGTTCCTGGTGGCCAATCCTGGATGACCTCTATGCATCCAATATCCCTGTGTACCGCTTCGTGCAGCGCCCTGGAGACCTCGTGTGGATTAACGCGGGGACTGTGCACTGGGTGCAGGCCACCGGCTGGTGCAACAACATCGCCTGGAACGTGGGGCCCCTCACCGGTGAGAGTGTGGGGCCAGTGCAGGGCCTCTCAGCGATGAGGGGGTGGGGCCTATGGTGGGTGAGCCACGGAGGGCTTGGAGGGTGGCCAGCTGTGAGGGAAGGGGCTTGGGTCAGGTGGTTGAGGGCGGTTGGAGAATCCTGTGGTGACTCCTCTGGCCCGCAGCCTATCAGTACCAGCTGGCCCTGGAACGATATGAGTGGAACGAGGTGAAGAACGTCAAATCCATTGTACCCATGATTCACGTGTCTTGGAACGTGGCTCGCACGGTCAAGATCAGTGACCCCGACTTGTTCAAGATGATCAAGTGAGGACCTTATTTGGGTGGGAGCCCATGGCCACCTCACTTGGTCCCCGCTCTTGTTCTTCCCATCCGCCTCCACCCCATTCTTCACGTGCCGCTCCATCCTTGTCTACCCTGTCCCCCCTCCTCTGCCTGCAGCGTCACTGTGCTTGGCGGCTGACAAGGTCCTTGCTCTCATGCCCTTTACTTCCCCGTGGTCCAAACAGACAAAAACCACATGAAATTTCAACAGTGACAGATGCCCAAGATAGGGGGTGTGCCCCTGGCACGCAGGGGGAGGCCCCCTAGGGGAGGGCTATGGGGCTGCGACCTCGGGCCCTGCTCCAACCCTTCGCTGCCACCTCCCTGCCGGCAGCCTCGCCTCAACACCACCTCATCGCGCCCCAGGTTCTGCCTCCTGCAGTCCATGAAGCACTGCCAGGTGCAACGGGAGAGCCTGGTGCGGGCAGGGAAGAAAATCGCCTACCAGGGCCGGGTCAAGGACGAGCCTGCCTACTACTGCAACGAGTGCGACGTGAGTGCGCCCGCTCTCCCGCCCCCTCCCCCAGAGCCCCGCAGC